GGGTATGGATCCTTGAACTCCCACAGCCAACACAGCAGACAAAGTAGCAGCGGAGACAGCGGTCACATCAGGTAAATCACCCCAAATACCCAATTAGTGAATTCATATCGAACATCATGACTAATACCACAGAATAATCCCTCAATTTGCGCTTCCGTACAACAATAACCATTAGCATATTCAAAATTTATTTAGTACCTTTTGTTTCATTATATTTTTTTTGTGTACGTAGAACTATGGGTGAGCAGTTTATTTCAATTTGTTTGAATGTTCCGTTCGTAATTACGTAATTTTCATTTATATCATTATTTTATTTAGATTTTTTTCAGTATTATTTGTACCAGAGCTGGGACACGAAGATAGATATTTCAATTTTATTTCAGTGTTTCGGATTGATTGGAGACACTCGGGATTAAAAATATTCATAATTTGGGAATAAATTGATTAATTATTACATTTTTTATTATTAAAAATGAAAAGAGTATGAAATTCGACACGAACAGCAAAAGTCCAATTTTCCGTTTTCTCAAATACCGCGGGATCTCGGTAACCATTGACTCCACGACAAAACACGAAAAGATATTTTTTCTCGGGAATTCAATCCACTACAAAAAAGTCCTCTAACAATTTCCCCTCAAACCAATACCCTCCCAACAAATCGTCAATTAAAAAACGTAAAATTCAATTCGTTCGTAATAATCCCATCCTGACAAAATAATTTCATTTCCAATTTCTGAATATTAAAAAAAATCACGGATCCCCATTTTCCAGGGCATGATCTCCAGCCCATAGAGGAACAATTAATTCAATAATTTACTGAACCCCAGCTCTGGTGTTTGCATGTGAAAAAAAAAACGAATTTGTGTTGTGATCTTTATAGGTCACCCTCCTGGCCGGTGTGGGCTCCACGCCTCCCCACATTATCCCAAAATCAATGTTACACCGGAAATGAGTCTGGAAATGATAGTGCCTATTTAACACCCCCAAATAACCCCCAAGAATCCTCTCGTTTCTGGTCACCAGTAACACCAGTGTCATCCAGAAATCGTGACAGACCACCGGATAACTCAAGCACACCAAAACCACCAGACGTTAAAAATGGTACATTAAACAACAACATAACAGATATACCAGTGGCTTTCAAAGTGCCAGGGGTCCAGGAGGTGTTACGATACTCAAGGAGACACTGCATCAAGGAGAAATTAAATCAGAGCATTGACAAACCAGTGAAGCCACATATTGGTGAAACCAGCTGGAGAAATATATCAAAAACTTGTGATTGCATTGAGAAAGGTAAAACAAGTCCTGTTCTCAGACTGGTTGATCAGACACGAGCTGTATCCTCTCCTGATCCTTTACATACCCCTCGATCCTCGCTTCAATCCACAACGGCAGCTCAGAGCCTCAGGTAGGTCAATCGTTTTTTTTTTAATCAACTCTCGATGCCTTCCAAGTAAAATTTGCTTGGAGATCTTTCTCTCACACTTGTCCTGGAGCTTTTCCTTTTTTTCATTTATCGTCTGCTTTATCCTCATGACCTGTCAATTCATTCCTGAATTTAATTGAATGGTTTCGAGGGGGAGGGGAGGGGTGGGGGCTATTTATTGGAGAAAAGATGGAGGGGAGAGAAATTTGGGTTTTGGAAAATGGGAGAAATATATTTTTTTATCAATTTGGGGTTTAATTATTGTAAAAGTTTGTAATAAAAATCCAGGGAAAAATGAAATTTCATAATTATTACAATTACTTTTTTAATTATGGAATATTAATTATGAAAAATATCTATTCAATAATTAATTAACTCGAATTATCAATTTCTCTTGATGAATAATCGGATAATTAATCGATTGACGTGATATATTTAATTTTCCTCTTGTGTTGGACATTTTTGTTTTTCTAAATTTTCGAAATGACAAAATTTTTTAAACATTTTCCTTTGATTTCTCTCTCCCTTCTTCGAATTCGCCTCAGCTAGACTATTGAGCAATGGATAAAAAATCAATTTGATTTTCTTGGAATGGCTTTTTTGAATATGGCATTGCAGGGGTATCGCCGGGGGTCACCGTAAATTATTGGACGGTACAGGTGTCAAGTTGGCAACTGTCACAACGAGCCCAGACTCCGAGGAGTCAGCAGCACTGGCTGTTATGGAGATAATTTCGTCAGTACTGTAACAATATTATCCCACAGTTCATGCTCATGCATTATTATTCCTTTTATTTATTTACTGTTTGACTTGACAGGAATTTATTTTTTTAAAACCCCATTTTTCACAAATACGTCATTTTATTCTGCTCCAGAGAGCATTTCCATCTCATTTGCATTTGTCCAGTGGTAAATTTTGTTGTAGAATTGGAATGAATTTTTTTTATTGTTTATTTGTTGCTTGCATTGTCGTTTTGTTTTTAAAAACGAAGAGATAAAGTTGGAGATGAAAATTATTCAAAATTCAATTGATTATTCGTTCTTTTTAGGATTATCTAGAGGAGATGGCGATTTTTTCGTAGATACCTTTTTTGTAGCTCTCGGTTTTCTCCAGAGAAAAGGTTCTCACAAGAATTTCCGTATCTCTCTCGAATTCTGAGTTATCTCTCCGTTACAAATTTTTTTTGTTACCCACATTATTGTTTCCTGCATGTGTAACTTCACGTTATTACAACACCTGCATCTCATTAGATTTTAATTTACTTCTATTTAATTATGAAAATTAAAAGTGTCTCATGACCCATGAAAAATCCCGAAATTAACTGAACAATTTATTCAACAGCTGTTGAATTTTTTCAATTGACGTGTGACGTCTAAAAATCT